CGTGTTTTCCCAGACCAGCCGTACATATGGATTGTGGCCGTTATGGCGCTCCGTCGCCCGGAGATACGACCCCTCCACCGGTTGCTTCACCATATGCTTAGACACCATTTATCATCGTCGACCCGTTAGGAAGGACCTTGTTCATGCCTTTTACAACTACTTGTGCGATTTGATACTATTATCCTGTGCATATATACACTGTATCGCCACACTGGGTTTCGAAACCAATATATCATTGAAAGATGGAGATACTGTCATGTATACTGCGGCGGCTGCGCAATTTAGGCTCGGGAGATAAGGAGAGGAAGGGTATTGGATTGGCTGACAGCATTCTCCTTCAGGTGCTTGAATTCAGAATCAGGGATCAAAGCGTAAGCAAGCCAGACATGATCTCGTCCCCAGACGTGTCGAAGACCGGGAAGAAAGGACCGGACGAGGCCTCGAACAGTGATGATGATGACATGAGCGTGATTCGGTGAGCATCCTGGTCGTTGAGGCTGGGTGTTCTGGTGCAAGTCAGAATCAAAAAATGGGGCCAGCATTGAGCGACAGATGGCGGCGCAAGCGCAGAATACAGACGAAGGTGGGCCGAGTCTTGAGAGGAGAGGCGCAGCGCAGGGCGCAGGCGAGCCCCGGGTGGGCATGGCTGATGGAGCGCGTTGTTTGTCGACGCGGCACCTGTTTAGCCAATAAAGTGGCTGGGGACAAGTCGCTGGGGTTCTGCCCTTGGTTTATATCCTGTCTGCTCCAGCTCATTCCTATGTTCCCCCCTTCGCTCTAGTCCACCACGTCCTCGTCCTGTCTTCGGTTTCCTCGCCGTTTTTCGCACCTACTTCTGTCACTTCCGCTCCGCTTGTTCCGTACCAAAATGGGTTAGTGTTGCTCACTTCGTACTACTTTGAGCCCTCCGTCCCCTGCGATTGACACTGCTCCTACCCCTCTCGTAGCTACCATCTCTATGTCTGCGCGTCCGTCGTCCCTCAACCCCACCGCAGCCCGTGCACGCGTCCCCTCGCCCCTCGCGTCCTCCGGCCTGCCACGACCACCACGAAACGTGATGAATGCGCCATCATTCCCCGTCTCCCGCCCTCTCCGTCCCTTCCCGTCCATTGCCAACACTCTCCCTGGCACACTGGCACGGACGGGCGGCCCTGGTGCGAAGAAGGCCATAAAAATAATCGAGCCTCCCGCGGACTTCAAGTGCGAATTCGTGCTCAATCTCACACAAGCCGAATTCAGCAGGCAGGACTGAAGTGTTGATGTACAGAGGTCGGTCTCGCTCCTGCACAGCTCTCCTGGCTTCTCTTCTCATTCGTTCTTCTCGCTCGCTAGTGTGTTCATACCCGGGGTCATCGCCCTTCTATTTATTGCTTCCCAGGTTCTCCTCCTAAGCAATATTAGTGTATACCTAGATCCTCTCGTGTGGCTGCACCTCCTTTGGGTTCCGTGATACGGCTTGTTGTACACCGTTCCCTTCCTTCTCTGCCCCACGTTTAATGACTTCGCCTGCAACAATCTCCTTGCCCTGTTTCTTTGGAGGTCATTTTAGGATTCTTAGCGAGAGCTTCAATAGGGTCTGGTGTTGTCTGTAGAATGACATGTGGTGATGAACGCTAAGTGGGTGATGACTTTGAAACTTGGGGCAGTCTGTCGGCGCTGTGATTATCAGTTGCCCTCATCGCCGGGTAGGTGTATTGAAGGCTCTGTTCCGGCAGGTGATAATGCAGATTCCCTTCAGGGTATTTGCCTCGTCGAGAAAGGTATTCGCGCAGCTTTGTCTTCAACATACGCAGACCTCTATCACCTACCGTGTGCTTCGTTCCGCAGAGTTTGAGGTAAATTTGGGACACGACGGGGGCGAAACGTAGATCACATGTGTGATTCGTGAAAGTTCTATCCGGAAGACAGAACGGAGCTAGTGAGTCCATACCTGGATCCCTGCGTCTAGTGCGCGTTTTGTGCGCGTCAGAGGAAGAGGATTGTTCCAGAGGTATCGACTCGGCGCTGAAACGTCGAAGGCGGATGTAAAGTGGCCACAACAGATAGCGCAATGGGGCGGTCTATCGATATCCATGACATTTGCGCAATTTGAAGAATTTGGAGAAGGGCCCGGGCACCATGGGACGTCGAGCTGCACAGTCAGATGTTCAAAGATCGACAAGCCAAGTGGGGTCAATGCGGCAGAGAGCACACGAGCGCTGTAATAAATCTAGAATGGACCTTGTACCTCCAAAGCGAGCCGTTGACTGCAACGCTGCCGCCATGAACGGTAGGCAATCCGGTCTGACGTGAGATATTGTGCTGAGGACGCATGGCGTTCACCTCGCCGCTCATGAAATGCATACGTGAGCGGCACCGCTGCAAGGTGCGCTGCGCAGCACCTATTTAAGTATTGCTCGCAGGCACGTCGTTGTCGGCCCCGCGTCCAAGTGAAAGCCGGCAAGATGTAGTAGATGGCGGGTCGTCCTGGCAGCGAGTCTGAGGAACCCTACACTGTGGCCATGATCCCAAGAGTGGCTACGCGAGTGTGACGAGACGATCTTCGTTCTCGTCCTTGCCGCCCTCAGTAGCCCGAAGAGGTCGCGCATATAAGCTTGGACGGGCACAAGAATTTCAGTGCACTGTGATCGCCGATGGACTCGGCTAGGATTGTTTCAGCAGGCCATCGGACGATGAATTCGTCTATGTACAAACATCTAGGGAGCATACGAGTCAGAGCTGAATATAACGCATGCACAGTGCGACTCATCGGGTGAGCGTTCGACGTAACACTCAGCGGGAAATAAAAGCAAACAAGTGCAGATGAGCCGCAGCGTGCTGGGCTCCGTCAAGTCACCCAGAGTCTCCAAGCATACGATAAATGGGCTTTTCAAGGTGCTGTCGTACGACACCATGGAAGATTGATACGGTCCTGAGGCTGCGCCTGAGCGCATCAAAGGCATCCAGGCGAAATATCTCTACCGACGCGTATAACACGTGTACTGCGCTTCGCCGCTCGTCGTGGCAAGTTTGATGACATTTGATTCTCAATCGCGCGACTGTGGGGACAAGGCTCAGTGCACAGCGCACCGTGAGGTCGCATCAAGGGAAAAAGAAAGAACCTGAACCATCGGGTGGTCGCCAAAAAGGACACGCACTTGAGCTGCTTTACGTCGTGACCTCGGGCGCAGTAGGAAAGGTAAGAAGGGTATGGAAACTGCATTACCCATCGCTGGACCCACAAAATGATTATAAACCATTCAGATTTGGAGAGCGTCTGTCGAGGCAGAAATATGGGGCACGAAGCTCTCTGCGCAGCGCGCAGGAGGAAGAGGGGACGGTGTGTTGTTCATCTATGCCTTGAGCGGACTCTGGCTCAATTCCAGGCCGTACGCCAGCTCATAACAGCGTCATAGACACAATTCGGGGCGGGCTTGCTCCGATCTACCCCCGTAAAATAGACGAGGAAGGCTGAATACAAGGGCGCTCTCGAATACCCGATAACATACCGGAGTAGAGCAGAGACACTGGGCCCTGCTAGACAAGAGTTTCCAGAAAGATGGGCATGCATTCGACACATGTCACTTAAGAGCCCGTCTTCGTCCCGGTGGGGGACACTGTACGAGATGGTCATCTGGCGTCGGAACTTCTGGGAAAGCGTATCACCGATCCAATGGGAGATACCAGAGTGCCACTCACGGTTGTGTGGTGCGAGCCTGTGTCCAGAGGCTCTCTCAGCGGGTTCCGGAGGCCCATCTTGATTCAGATGAACCTTATACATGCGAAGGAGGCAATATGCACCCAGCGGGGCCAGTAGACCGCAAGCTGGTGCCGGCGTAATGAACAGAGAGCATGAGCACCAGCACCAGCGAATTGATCTTGCAGAGAGCAGTGAACCGAACGAAGGGGATTCATGAAGGGCCGGGTGCGGATATAAAAGCAATTCGGGCTGCATATATTGACAGATTGACCAACTGCAGACATAATTTCCCGCTTGGCTGATAGCGGACCAAATCGCTCTTCGCACCATTTTGAGAAGGTGGTGTTGCCCGAGAGCAGTAATCGTTGTATTGTAAGCGAGAAAACACCCTGGTCAGATGTGATAGTCCTGCATGAGGAGTCGACGAGGCTGCTCGGACTTTCTCCTTGAGATTCCTGAGGCAAGCGAGGTCCGGATGAGCCGTCCAAAGCGGTCATCAGCCAAGCTCGTGCTCAGTCCAAAGGTATACGTACGCCCGGGAGAATGGTTCGTCTGGCCGGTACTTAAGCTCATACATGACCGCTCACCCGTAGACCTCGGGGCTTCTCGTCGGCCAGTGGCATGTGTTGGGCCGCATGGAGGGTGCTGCTGACAGAAAGGAACCTGACGCATTCTGGTGACCGCGTCTGTGTTATCTCATGGGAATCAGCGTGTGGTCCTGGGGGCGCAGCTCCAACATGCAGAGCATATGGATGCGGCAAGATCGGAAGCGCTGTGCTAGATGTGGTCGTCCCTGTATGCTGAAAGAAGGGCCATTCGCGGAATGTGGTCGAGATGGACGACATATCATAGAGCCACTTGGGCATTCCCTTCTCGCTAAAGCGATGTGAACCTGCGGAGATTTATGTAGACAATGGGAAAAGAGAGCATGACATGCCTTTGGGACGACATCGAGCTGTCTCGGATACGGGTGGCGGCGACAGCGAGCGAACAGATGGATGTTGTGCGCACGATGCACGGTGAGCTGATCCGGTGATTTTGACGATGCTGTCGAGGGATTTGTCTTTGTCTTGCGACACGGGGCATGGTCGTGGCCGCAGACGACCTGATAGACCTTCCTGTTCCATCGCGGGCCGGCTGTTTGCGAACCCTCCAATTGTCTCCCTCTGCGGGAGGTTTCTCCACCAGGGCAGAGGGTCCGCCCAGAGTGACCCCGCTTTCAATGACTGGCTCGTCCTGCTATTGTTAAGCCCCCAACGCGCGCTCCCGTCCCTGGCGTCTTTAAGCCACTTGAACTCCAGACAAGTCCCAAACCGTCTCAATTACGTCTCCGCACTCACAGCGGAGCCTCACATTGAATTCACTCATGTTCTGCGAGCGCCCCGATTTCATTATGAGCCCCTTCCGGTATCAGTTGACGCCACCCAGAGGTGCATGTCCATTTTCTATGCGCGTCGGAGATGCACGGTCGACCGGGGGGATGCGCCTCAGTTCCTCGTAGTACTACTACTTACACGATCGTCTTGTCAGGAGGACAGCATCCTTACTCAGTATCTCGGCCTGTGGTGTGGAAAATTCCTTGAAACGGATCGACCGCACACACCCTGATCCCGGGTATGGATATATTTATCGTAGAGTCATTTCGTCTTTCTCTGCGGGTCGATGCATTCAGACCGAGTCGTACTCGCAGTGGCCTGGTATCCGGAGCCTATTGCCTCTCGATCGCCTCGTCGTGCGCCTCGTCTCCTCTTCATCATTTTGATTTTAACCGAATCATGTCTCACCATGGGGATGTGCCAGGCGCGATTGGTCGTGTATGCGTTTAGGTACCGCAGGCCAGGGCCTAGACGCTGATATAACGGCTTCCGAAGGTTGGATTCTCCGGCTTTCAAGCATGTTGCCTTTTTTTTCCCTTTCTTTTCCGAATTCACCAATCACATTCCATATCATATCTACTATATTGCGGAGGCATATGGCCCTTGTGAGTGCGAGCTGGGCGCGCGGTTCCGTGACTGGCCTGCCGTGGTGACTGGAGTCTCGCTCTGGGCGCCTGGGCGCCTGGTCATGATCGCTGTGCACTGCACTGCGGGCAGGGCAAGGAGGACAGGAGCCGATCGGGCTAGGGAGCGCCAGAGACCCCGAGGACTGGCGGGTGAGTGGTCATTGCGGACGAGCTCGACTCGAGCGCAGCGTATCTAATCTCTGTCTCTGTCCTGGGCCAGGGACCGAGACGGTTCTGGGGAGGACGTGCCAAAGAGGATGATCCGCTGCGAGGAGGACGATGGATGTGGATTTGGGGTGTGGAGGAGCACATGGGCGTCCGTGTGCCTGAGGGCCGGTGTAAGGCGTGAATGGATTGCGACCTGTCTGGCTGATGGGGTTCGGCGATGCCCGACAATAAGAGTTTAACGATGGGCCCTGAGAGCGCACGCTCGAGCTCTCGTCTCGCGAGAAGGCGCAGAAGGGAGAGACGAAGCAGCTCACGGCGGCGCCAAATATTATTTATTTATGCAGTGGCACACCAGCCAGATAAGGAAAGGGATATGCCATATGCGGGAGGGCCGGTCGGTGCGAGCCGGAAAGGGGCCCTATTAGATTGGCTGTGTTTGGCTGCGTCTAGAAATACTCGACGGGGCGCCTCTGCGCGCAAACTCGAAGGCTATTCCGCTCTCTCTCTACGCCCATCCCCTCGACGCCAGGCTTTCCCGCCTTTCTCTTTACGACCCCGCACGATTTTGCACGACGTTCAGATCTCGCTTTTATTATCTCGCCTCCCTCTCTCGCCTCCCCCCTCTGCTCTCCTATCTCGCACTTCACGTCTTCAATTTGAAGGTGCGCCGACGCCTCTCTCCCTCCCCGATCGCGCTCAACGTGCCCCAGTCTTGCATATTCTACACTCTCGTTTCTGCTCCTTGAGGGTATGTTTCCTCACCCATCTCCCGTCCCGTCTGCGTCTTATGTGATCGCAGCACCAGAAATGGATAGTTGGCGAGTAGCCGTGCTGGGTGATGGAGGCGTAGGGAAGACAGCGCTAGCTGTTCAGGTCAGTCCCCCACAAAATATCCCCAACGAACCAGCTGATCACACTGTCCGCAGTTCACACTTAACTGTTTCGTTGGTGAGCACAATACGTGTCTAGCCTCCAGATTGGCGCTGAGGACGATCATCATTGCTCCTCCATCTTGTAGAGGTTGGTTTTTCAAGGACACTGTTCCCATCGCCGTTAGTAATCTTCCTGTGACACTGTAGACTTATGACCCGACGATAGAGGATGCATATCGCAAGCAACTGGTGGTTGACAAACGAATGTGCTTTGTGGAAGTGATTGATACGGCAGGTCAAGGTGTGCTTCGTCTTGCGCGCATCACGCAGAGTATCATGATTCACGCGATCAACAGAGGAGTACGCCACACTGCGGGACCAATGGGTTAGGTATGCAAGCCTCACGCCCCTGCCAAGTTCATAATGAAACCGTTTATCCACGCAGAGAAGGCCAAGGTTTTATCCTGGTCTATTCGATCGCGTCGCGCGCGACATTCGAACGACTCGATGTATTTCGGCAAGCGATGCTGAAAGTCAAGCGACAGAAGCCGGTCTTTATGCTCGTAGGCAATAAATGCGACAAGCAATATGAGCGTGAAGTATCCCGAGACGAAGGCTTGGCGCTTGCGCGGAGCTTCGGCTGCGATTTCCTAGAAACGTCTGCAAAAACGGCGGTCAACGTGGAGCGGTTATTCGTAGACCTCGTTCGACTCCTCCGGCAGACAAAACAACAGGAGCAGGGGATGCAGGGTCCACCTCGACCGCCGAAAGATAAGGAGAAGAGAAAAGGAGGGAAGTGTATTATCATGTAGGGCACATTGCGGACTATATAGAACTGACTCCAGTCTCATTACTTACCTCGATTCATGATACCATATCCCTTGTCTCTCCATTGGGCTCATTACGTCTGGTTCCGCTACAGGGCATCCTTTGCAGTCGCGTCGACATTCAGGATTGCTTCACGATGTACATATCACTCACGCCTTTCCTACCTCTGTGCATACTTCATGCTGACCACGTACAAATGCATGCTCAGTCGCTCGAGTTTTGCTGTGTCTGCTTATCAACGGTGAGATATCAGCTGTACACTGCCCCAGTTCCACCAGACGTGTCGCAATGCACCGCTCCCGATCAAGCCAAGCTGCGCTTTGACGGCGACTCCGAGGTGTTCAACCTTCGGGGTAACCTAGGCACATCACAACTGGAGGACATTGAATACACAGTACAAATTTGCATGCCGCGGAGTGAACGACATCTCGCTGGAACATGCTATAATATCAACACTGATCAATCACCTACGCGAGTGCACGGAATCCACTATGTTGACAGCGAGTAATCCCTCCCGCGAATTCAGTCCACGATCGCCACGGAAGGCAGCACTGCGCGAGATCTCGAAGATGAGGATTGATCAATTCTAACGGCAAGCTGCCTCCACGCTCACCTTCCATGCCACGCCGTTAATGTTCGGACTAAAGCAATTTTTCCTACACTTCTACCCCATACGGTCAATTGACTAAGTGCATATGATGCCTGGGACTTCTAATGGGAAGGGACTTTGAAATAATAATAATATGCTTTGGTGTCATGGCATGGAAGCCTCTCCACCCCCCCTCGAGACATTCTCAGCTGCGACCACCCCAGTCAATCTGATTCTGACCGACAGCATGCAGTACACACGGGGGCCGTTCTCGGATCGCAGTGTGAGACTATTTCGCCCGCTAAAGTCCTTTGAAGTTTGCAGCATGATCAGTATCAGCGGAAAGCTATCTGGTATTGCCCATATAAGTGCGCATACTAGGTCCTGGCTAGGATGCGCGGAAAGAATGAACTACCGGCGGTGGATCGTCCACGCAGAGATGAAGTGTACACGCTAGCCGTACTCACCTGAAACGTTAGCATGGCCGCCACGCGGTGAGCGCTGGCAACAACCTACATATGTACCGGTAAGCAGCTCATCGTGTCCGCGCGCCGTGCTCGGGAGTACGCCGAGAAGTGCAACAAAATACTATTATCCCACAAGACACATTACGGTTGATTGATCCATCGGTGGTATGTCTGTGTAGCCGAATCTATAGATAGTGTCCAAAGCGTGCAAGATCGGAGTGCTCTGGTGCACAGCGACTACTTGTTGTGCCAAAGAAGCGTCCGCAAGCTATTCCAATGTTCCGAATCGCGGTAAAGGTAGACCATGGAGCTGAACATCCCCGGCTGGATAGCCTCGCCCCGCTCATTGAAGAGCCACATGACTGCCCCCCAACATAGGGCAGCGAATACAGAGAATTTCCGTGCATCGGGAGGGATGGGCTTTACGGCAGAAGAAGCAGTCGAGTTCATCGCATACGGGGACCCGGCGCGAGGAATGAGGGACGCGACGACTCGAGAACAGACGTAGAGCACGATCTAGGATCGCGTGAGCTCTGCACCGCAGACATGATAGCGGTGACACATACCTGTTCGTTGACAGCATTTCTATCCCCGAAGACAAAATAGCCGCCGATAAGGCCGGCAATAAATGTGTCCGCGCTGCGCTGGACTCCGCCATTGAACTTCTTCTGGATGAGAAGACAGGTCTTGTACAACGATACGAATTTGGCAAGGTTCAGTGCGTGCTGTCTAGTTGCACGAGCGATGGTACGAAGGCGAGTAGTCCAGCTGCAGTGCATGCTATGAGGGAAGAAAGCTTTGCGTTGTAGTACAGACTGACCTTCCACGCCCGAACAAAATGGCCATGATGAGAGCATGGGGAAATCGTACTTTTACACCATAGACAAAGCCATTCCTAGCACCCTTGATGATAGCCAAGTAGTCATGATACGCGGGGTCAGCTAAAATGGCCGACAGAGCAGACATCTTGGGTAGACGTTGAGTGTGTCGAGAGGACTGACCCTCCGAGCCTCTTCTGGACGAACGCCAAGTTTCCGGCTCAGTGGGTGCGCACGTGATTCCAAGCAAAATCACAATCTGCACTGCCCGGGCCACGCGCGACAGCATTCAATACTTCAATGTCCATGAACAGTCACAACGATACACTAATAGTATCATCATACAGTTACATACATTGGCACTCCTACGCTCTCCCTAGACACTCACTCACGGCAATGCCTTGAAATAGTCGTCCTTGAATTCAAAGTCTGACATGCACACGCATTCAATCTAGGGCGTTATCCATTATGAGTACCGTCCGAGGAGCATCAAGGAGGGCAGACGTACACCTTCCTTGTGTTGCCTGAAATACGTGTCAGCTTCAGACTTTATGACGACGAGACGCCGGTATTCGTCCATGATAGCTGGTTGCGATTGCATCATCCATAGATCCCGCGCAATTTCCTTCTGTATAGCTTCAGGAAGATCTTGTTCCGCGACATTTAAATGCTGTGCTGACGCGGTCTCAAGGCAGAATTTCAACGTCTCGCGCGCAGTATGAGTCTCCAGCAAGTCAATCTGCCAACTGGTCCACTCCGTGGCTAACGCACGGTTATTCTTCAATTGATGCAGAGGTGGCGGGGCAATTAGAAGCGAAACAGTTCCTTCGTTGATTAACCTGAGCAGTTCTTCGAATAAGAATTCCCCCCTGATCAAAATATATGAGAAAGAGAGATGGTTGCTAAGTCAAGACCTTCGCGTACTTGTCGTATAGGGCCAGTGGTGGCTGTCCTTGGCATGTCAGCTTGGCGAGCGTAGCCACTACTGATGGCAAAAGATAGCACTGCCACAGTGGGTGTTCATCGAGCTTCTTTATCAAGTCATACGTGCCGATAATATCTCCAATGATTGCAGAAGGAGTGAATGTTACAATTCCACCTGAGACATGTTCGATGGACTCTACCAGCAGAAGAAAGTGATGAACGCACCGAGAGGGAATATTTCTCGTATCCCCCAACGGCTGGCAGGAACATTTTCATGGCTTCCATACGAGTAGAACCGCACTTCAGGGTATTTAAATCGCCTCTCAGCCAATCCTGGTAGTTTGTATAATGTCGGTAGGGCATCAACATGTGAAAATACGATCCGAGCATGAGACGTATCGCCCACGTCGCGCGCTCTGCATGCGTCCAAGACGACACGGAGACAAACGGTGTCAGGATTATGTTGCGTGGAAGATCCGTCGGTAGGAGAATGCCAAATACAGTATAGTCGGCTGCTAGAAGTTATGAAATCATAGAACGATTTGGTAGCTTTGAGGAATCTCAGGGCGCGTTGGACATCGAGAGCTCTATATCGCCTAGGAACAGCATTTTTGTCTCGCATCATGGTCGCCAAGTTGGGATCCAAAAGGCGGTCGTCTGGGATAAGAGACCTAGGCTGATACCATAGAGCCTTGTTATATTCTGAACGCGACAATTCCCAGGGGACGAGCGCCGCCAGGAGGGGGTGACCGTCCCTCAAATCAGACGGGACTTTGAGAAGCGAGTAGAGTTCATTGATAAAAGGGAAAACCAGCATCAAAGCAACTTCTTCACCGTCAAGTGTCAGACGGGTATAGGTAAACTGCCCGGTAAAACCTTATTTTTCAGGACTACAAGCGCATGGGGGAGGGGATCGCTCACCATCCTTTGACGCCTCATGTAGGAGGCAAGGGTTCTCAAAGCATCCGCATCTTCCTCTTCTTGATGGCCGAGCTTGGCAAATTGCTGAACTGGAGTGCTTGAATTCAAAAGTAAGTACAGCTCCGGCACGTTATGCATTCTACCAAGTCTGATAGAGTCAACCGAAACGAAACAGACACTGAAGCGTAGGCCATTCGGACGAGGATCAGTAGCGTCGTATAACGCGATATTGCAAAGCCGTTGGCCTTTGCCGTTATCAATGTCGATGAATAACTCTCCTGACCACCTCCACTTCTTTGGGATTCTATGATATGTCAGGGCTGGCGATCGACGACAAGCGACTTCACAAATAAATTTGCCTCACCTGCCAATATTCTGTGGCTTCGAGGGCACATTTGAAGCAGCGTGCACAGGTGGTGGAATATATTCAGTCCCAGGATTTTCTCTGAAGCTAAAATTAGACTCAAAGAAAGGACCAGAATTAGCCAAACATACTCCATGTGTGCTGCAAAACTAATCACGACGGCATCGGTCAGTACATTATCAATATGAACACAAACCTCCTCACTCTGATGGCATGATATTTAAGAGAAACTTGTCTGTCTCCGACATTTTGTCGTGGGGCGATGCCGGCTTCGAAGGTTGCGCCGGCCGTCGCGGTAGAGATATCTGGGGTCGCCTACGAATGCAGGTCAGAAATCCATGTCGAAGACAAAAGAAGAAACTGAAACGGACGCAGATTTGGTGGCCTCAGAGAACAGCGGCTCGGATCGCGGTTCCAGCGGAGAAATGGGCCCATGCATAGATTCAGGTGATTGCACGAATTGCGAAACGTCGCCGACGGCGCTCGTAGCAGGAAGTGCAGCGGACTGAGACGGATTGGCTACTACCTGGCCAGGAGAGCGTGGGTCTTGCACGGGGGTAGACAACGTGCCACCTGATCCGCCAGGTGCCTTCTTAAATGACAGCTGAGCCAAGGCTTTCCTTTGTATTTGTGCAGAAGTTGGTACCGCATTCACAGCAGTTAGATCTCTGGCTTTCTGCGCAAGGCGGGCTTTGGTCGAAATACCCTGAGAAGGCCCTCCGCCTGTCGTCTGAAGGGGCATTGGTTTGATACCTCGACGCTCCTGAGGTCTAGATCCCACGCTACTGGAAGTCAATGCCTGCTTTGTCGCCGGCCCTTCATTGTTACGCAATTTGGACTGCAGAGATTCGTCACGGGTGCCTGTGGATACAAGAGGCCCCTGTGGTGACGGCGGTCCTGAGAACAGAGAGTTCTTTCCGTCGCTCTCCGCACCATCGGACGGGGGTGGTGGATCATGTTCTCTTTGTTTCCCTTTGTCTTTTCGTGCACCCTGGAAAGAAAAATTGAGTCGACTTGATAATATAAGTCTAGGATCGCACTTGAGCAATACTGCCTACGTCTGCATCGTTTGCATTCGCGTTAGATATTGTTTTTGTGACTCTTTGAAGAGATTCGTCTTCAGAACTTCCAGAAATAGACTAAACAATTAGCCGGGTGATACATTTTATGATGATGGTCTGATTTACTATGACGGCGTCGTCCGTATCTCTCCACACGCGCTTCTTGGTTATGCGGGAAGTGGGATATACCCCGGAGTCTGTTTGACCATCCTGGAGAGCATAATGAGGAGCGTCTGGATTAGACATATCGCATGTACGCACCTCACTACTACTGGCATCCTGCCCCACGGATTGTGTCTGTTTCTTCTGGGATTTTCTGGACGACTGCGCTGTGGATGCATCCGCTTGTGACACACGACCACGCTTCTTACTAGGCTCCTACACGACACGGATTAGTTGTATATTACAAGCGAAAACAAACCGATATATCGCATACCGCTGTGGACTTGCGCGATATCTTGCGTTTCTTTGGGAGCTGGATAAATTCATCACTGCTTTGTTCCCCACTCTCTTGTTGGCTGCTCTGTTCCTCATTGGCTTTGACCTTTATAGCACCCCAGTTTTTGGCAAAAAACGCTTTCTCTCTCTCTGTTTGGTGATACACGCGCAATGTACATCAAGCTCTCCATGAAGCCAATAATTCACTCACTAATCCAAGTAGGTGTGGCACGCATAACAGTACCAGGTGGACAGTGTTTTTTGTCCTGGCCGACGTCCGCCCAAAAGCTCTTTAAGAGTCGCTCGCAACCCTGCATATTCTTCCTTGGTTCCCAGCTGGGAAATGTTTGAGTATGAAAACAAGCTCTAGTGATCCGACTTACGTATCGTAATCCGAATCATAGCCAGCCCACTGTAGGTGGGAGACCCGTTGAGCACAAGCACGGAATAGATACATACTGAAAACAACCTTGACCAAGTATTCCTAACCACATGGTGAGATACAGTTGCAGACAAAAGAAACTGATACTTGCCAATTTATGTCTCCTGTTCATCCGAGCCTGTGTAACAACCTCTACAGGGATATGAAAAGTCACCGCATCAGAAAGAGAAATCACTGCATACCAACATGAAACTGCTCCTCTTCCGACGACTCGACTTGGTCGAGAATCTTGGCTTTCTTCACCATTTTTCGCGTATAAGCATGAGCCGAGATTATGCTCGAGTGTTATCTGAGTTGAGCGAGCAGAATTGAGACGGGATTGGAAGTGTCCGAGACCGCGGAGAGAGAGAGCCCTTTGCCACCGGACGCGATCGTGGCGCGTCACCTTGTCTCGCTCTCCCCGATTTGATCAACCTCTACTATCTCAACCTCTTTGCTCTGCTCGCCAGAATGGCCACGAAATCAAAGTCAAAGCAGGAGGAAGCGTTGCAATTTCTCGATGACCTCGACTCGCTCGCACCGTCGCCAGGTGCTCCTGCGACTGCGCAGAGCTCGCAGCCGCCCGGGGGCGAGGGCGAGGCGGAGGTCTACGCCTTCATCGACGAAATCACGCAGAAGAGCTCCGAGCCTCGTCTCAACACGGCGCATATCGACCGACCGCTTTCTCGTGCAGGCACGCCTACAGTCCGCAAGAGCACAGAGCGAGTCAAACTCGGCGCGCCTGCGCCATCCCTCCTGCCGTCTGCGCCCAGCCCGCTTCCCGCAATCCAGAGGACCGAATCAGGCTCTTCGAGTTCGCGAGTCTCCCTTTCTGCAACCATAAAGACAGAGCCGCAATCTCAACCTCAGGTAAACGAGAGTGCCTCCGGCGGCTGGGGCTGGGGCAACGTCTGGTCGAGTGCGAGTGCTGCAATCCAGCAGGCCAGGACCGTCGTAGATGAACGCATCAAGGAGTTGCCCAAGAACGAACAGGCACGTAAATGGGGCGAGGGTGTCCTTGAGTACGCGCGTTCCGCTCAGCTGGACAAGCTGGGTAACTTGCTCGTGCTATCTGCATTTTACGTGCGCTCTAACCGCGTGCTGTTCCATAGGAAATGACTTCAAGAGGGTTGGGTTGTCAACCCTGACAGATCTCCTGAACGTAGTTGCCCCACCGATTTCCGAGCACGAGGTCATCCAAGTGTGGTTGAGCCATGACATGATTGGCTATGACGGAGTTGAGACCCTCGTATACCGAGCTCTTTCTCGTGTACGCCCTTCATTCTCGACGTGTCTACTATGCCGACTTACTCGCACTCATATAGATCATGGAGCAAGTCGAAGGCGGGGATTTGGTAGTCAACCGGGGTGACGAATCACGCCCAAAGGAAAGCTCAGACTCAAAGAGAGAGCTGAATGCTGTCGAGGGCCTGGAAGCCGCGATCAAACTCGCCCAGGTGAGTGCTATGTCTCTGCGCCCTTCGACAGCATGCTCAATCATGGATTAGGCAAATCTCGAGGAGGCCATTAAGCGTAACGCCCAGCCAGCACCGACGCAGTCGTCAGCTCAGAACCCTACGACCTATTCTTATGTTTATCTCCGGATACAACCCTATCTGACGACCTACTCCCTTTCTCCACCCGCTGAAGTTGACGATTCTGCGTCATCGCCAGCGTCGGTTGATCAGACATCTCTCCAATTTCTCCTCTACTTGACCGACCCCACCCATCAACTCAGCCATTCCACTACCACTCAGGCAGTGCCCGGAAAGTGGCTGGACCTCTGGGACCAGTACGAATGGGTGGAGGATCTGGTGGTCGAGGCCATCCGAGTGGGTGTGGAGGTTCTCGGACAGGAATATATCGTCTCCCGAATGGGCTGGGATAAGAAGGTGACGGAGATTCCTGAAGACGACGTAGAGATAGTAGAGCCCGAGAAAGCAGCGTCTTGACGGGCTCTATCGACCTTGCCATTTAGTCATCGAGTATTTATTGATTCGGGCAATGCCCATCCGGCAAGCCGTGGGTATCCTATGTAAGACTACGTGACCGTATGTGAACTGTACGAGTATACTGTGCATAGCTCAACAACCTGAAAGTGTACGAGAGAAAGGCGAAACACTAATGCTACAATCTTTGGCGAAAACGAGATACAAACCGAAGGCCATTTTGAGAGAGGAATCGGAAAACATGCGAAATACAATTGAGTGATGACGGGCATGTCGAAAGTATTGGGGTCGAGGATCAGGAGCTGACGTAGTGCCCGGTTACCTTGCCTTTGAACAGCGCCCTAACGGGGAATCTGGCAGGGACGCGATACTTAGCATGCAAGACCAACCGCGACGCTTCCCCTGCGTAAACAGAAATTCAACCTCACCACACCCGTACAACCGAGAAACGAACGGCCTACCGCGCAGAGATGCTCGCCCTCCAGCTCTGTCCATCATCCGACTCGCCAACGGACGCACCGCACGACATCTCGATGAGCCGGTCCAGACTCGCGCCCGACAGCTGTATGCGCACGCTCCGGCTACGGCTCGACAGCAGAGACTGGCAGTCCCCAGCGGAGGCGGCCGAGTCCGTCTCCTCCATGATCGTGCACAGCTGCTCGCCCGGCACCCGGCGCTGCACCACGACCCCGCCTGTCTCGCACGCCCGGCCCCAGCCCATGCCCGCAGCGCCCCCCGGCGGCGGCGAGTCCAGCTCGGGGTGCGGGCTGACCAGCACGCCGCTATCGTCGTCATCACTGCTACCGTCGCTGTCACTACCGTCGCTGTCGCCCCCGCGCCCCCCGTCGCCCGTGCCGATCGAGAGCCCAAGCCCGAGCCCGAGCGCCGCGCTGACGGCGTCCACGTCGAGCTGCCCGTCCCGCACCAGGTCCGCGAGCTCCCACGTCCGCACGCGCGTGGGGCGCACCGCGCGCTCGGTGG